AGAGAATTAATAAAAGATTTTTATTTTTTTGAAACAGTTACTGTTTTGGTTTCCTTTTTACACCAAAAATAGCAAAAATAGAAGGTCAAACATCGTCTCATATAGACATATAGTCATATAGTCAGTCATATCTTGGATATTTTATGGATAAAGACTTTTTGGTCGCCCTAATTTTTTCCATTCTCTGATAAAACAATTGCGCTCAGCTCTCTTAAAATTATTTTTGTCTTAGTCAGTTACATTGTGCAAAAACATAACATGTGCGCTTTAATCTTTTCTCCTAGGCAAGTGATTTGTAGGGAAGTTTATATAATATACGATGTAGGATATGTCGCAAATAAATGTAACATGGAGCTGATTAATCTGGTGGTAAAGTTTTTGAGAGAGTTTTTATTAGAAACTTGAATTTAAATGGTACTCGGTATTAAGTTTATACTTTTTAGAATTATTAAATTAAAGTAGGTTAGATAAGCTTTGCTATTTGCTAAAAAATGTGGTATGAGTTTTTTTTTTTTTTTTTTTTGGTTTTTGTTGTTATTTAAAGTAAAAAATGATATCAATTTTATAATCAAGCGACCAATTGGATGCATCTGATGAATTGATCTAATGACGAATAGATCTAATTTTATAATTTTGCTCCAAGATCGACATCACAAGTACTGATGAGTATATACTTCGTACTAATATGGAAAGATCATAAGATATGAAATTAGTACACATAGTAGATATCAAGCACAGGCATAAAACAAAGCTACATTAACTAACATGCAACCAGAAGCTAATAACTAACACAAACCACTTCCTGTATTCTTCTAGCTAGCTAGGTCACTCATATATCATATCACAAACATTACACTCCTCCCCCTAACCAAGTAAAGAGCAATCTTATTTTAAACCAAATTACTGCATAATTGGTACATTAGAATAACACATTGGCTTCATGTCCAAAGAAGACTATTCAGCTAGCGCCTTCGAGCAGCGGTTTCCCTTTGGCAATTGAAGTAGACAGCAGCAACAGGAAGGCCAAGTTGGTTGTCTTCAGCAAATTTTTTGGTGCAGAATCGATCTCGACTGCACGGTGGGTCGACAGTACCCCTACGGTTCTGCCTGAACAAGATGAACGCAAACCTGTGGATGCCTATGTTCGGCCTCGGTAACTCATAGGTCACTATCTCTTTCCCTATCACATATGATATAATGGAGTAAGTATATACCATGAAATCATTAGTTTACTTGATTAATTCATCTTTAAGTAGTGGTCAAAGTCCTCTTAATTATGATATAAGTTGTGAGCTTGCTTACCAAAAGTAGCATCTGTTGTGCCTGGAATATCTGTGACTATCCTGTAACATAGGCATATTAATATGAGTAAGTCATTAAGTTTCTAATTGATAAAAGATAACTCTAAATATTACATTTAACATAAACATAAACATATAAATATATAATAGACTTTAGTTTGGATTTTGAATTAAGAGTATACCAGTGAAGGTGCTCTTTGAGGTAAGGATCACTGGGTCCTGGAACATCTGGATCTGTCATGATCTATCACATATAAAAGAAAAGAGAACATAAGACCCAGTTGGAGAGGAAATATGTATGTGTATACATGCTATCATGCAATAAGATCAAATGTAAAAACTTTACTATAGTAAATATTAGAACAAAGAAGAAAACTTTTAAAGTAACTATCACTCAAACTATTTCTTATGAATTATATTATAATAATTTATATTTATTATTTGATGTTAGACTTATATGTACTCGGTAATATAACTCTTCTATCATTATTAAGTTATACGAAGCAACTTTTAAGGTTTTTTTTTTTTTTTTTTTTTTTTGTCGTTTTTTAAGGTTATCTTCTCTTCTAAACTGGAAGTGAGGGGGAGGGGTCGGTCGAATTGAAGTAAAAAAGCAGTATGTATAGATATAGAAATTATAAATGTACCAAGGTAAAAAATGATTTCAAGTCACCATCAAGAACTTGAATCCTAGGCTTAAGGGTGACAGAAGAAGGGAAGAGTTCATGACCATTGTAAACTTGCTTGTTATTGTAAGTGACACACATTCTCACACTTGGGTTGAAATGGTCTATGACATCCCCAACTACTCTTCCAATGATGAGGGGATCTGACTTTGCCATTTTCTAGAGAAAAAAGAGAGAGAAGAAATATTATTATGGGGTTTAATTTTGGAAGAGACAATTATATGTAAGGTCTCTTGAAGGGGTGTCTTGATGGTATTGGTGGGGGAGATGATCTCATTATATATATACTGGTAAGGGGAAGCTATAATTTAATCATTTTAAAAAAGAATAAGGAAAAAAATTGTGAAAGAGGAGGTGGTGGGGCCAGGGATTTTAGTGTACATAGGTTTGAAAAATTGGCAATTTAAAGTGTACCTTATTATTATTGTTTCAAAATCTTGGTGTCTTATGGTATCTTCCATGCACCAGCATCTTTCTCTAGGGTCTTTAGGGGTAATTATTTGTGTAAGTATTTTGTTAACCACTCATATTCATAGTGAAATATAGGGAGTAGGTTAATTGGCTTGGTTACATTTAATTTGCCTTTAAAAAGAAAAGAAAGAAAAGAAATGGACATAAGATGATGTGCAAAAATATAAGTATTACGATTAAATACGTACTTCCACAATATTTTCAAGTATAAGTTTATTAGGTGCTTTTGCCTTTCGTTAAAAATAATAAATTTCAGACTGATCAAGTCAATTCAAGTGTCAAAAGGTGAAATTAGGATATATCAAGTCAATTAATATTTAATAAGTTTCAGTGAATAGATCGCACGCTTAGATCGAGCTAGTGTCTTATGTATTTCATATGGGACTAACTATATATAAAATCCATTCCTTACTACCTTATTATTTTCTCTTTAGATAATAAAATATATTGAGAAGTGGTAGTACCAAACCAGCATCTTGATTGATGCAATTAAGCTTCCAATTGAATGGTGCATTTAGCTTCTAATTGGGATTGGATTTGAATGTTTTCAACTTAACACTGATAACAATGAGACTGTTATCTTTGAGATCTAATAATTGTTAATAACATTTTGAAGATCTACTTAGAAACCACTTCTTATAGTACAAGAACAGTGTCTGGTGACATTATTGATATAGTACAATCATACAAATATTATTGATCATACAAATATACATGAGAATATCATCAAGATATATTGGAAACATATTCCTAAACACTTGCAACTTCTATAAAATAATATAAATCTTTCCTATACGACATATGATGATTCCTAATGTATCAATACTTCGTAATATATTCCTGCAATCGTAACATTTTTACCACGAATTATATGATCGAATAAATAAAAATGTGAAAGATCAAACAAATGAACCTTGATCAATAAAAAGGTCAAGATCACTTGGATGATATTGAATCAATACTAATAATCCTGAATCAATAAAATTATTAAGATCAATTGAATGATCCTGAATCTATTCTCATCGAAGTCAATATGCACAATATTGGTGATGTTGACTTCAATCGTATAGGTAATATTTGTGAATGATTTGATGGTTTAGGATTTTCATGAACTAAATAATGCAAGCTTGGGTTTTGATTTTTTTTTTTTTAGATCAAAATCGTGCTTAGAGCATGAAGCCTTGTCTCAAGCCACAAAGCTAATGTAAATGAACAAAACATAACAACAACAAAAATCGTCGCTACTTCTAGTAATTAGTTCGATTACATAAGTAAAGGGATAAAATATAATTTAGCCAGTTCTAGATGATTTCAATTGGTGACCCTCTTGGATAATTTTTAATGTAAAAATGTGTCGGATTATTCCAATTACTTTGAACGGTTTGAGTACCATGTTGCATATTGGATCCACCATTAAAGTAACCAAACCTTTTAAGCCTTGTTTTGTAAAGAGATGATTGATATAAATTTAAGCTTTTTGGGTGCAATGGCCTCAAATTAGCTATTAGGTATTGAAAAAATAGTTGATTTGAGCAACTTATTGGAGTTCAATAAGTTGGTTTAAAGAGTTGTTCAACCAATAAGCAATTCTTGTAATAAGCTATCTTTGGTAAAATAGATTACTTAAATGTTTTATTAATCAAAATATTTAATACAACTAGCTAGTCAAATCAGTTGATACAATTAGTTATATTAATCAGCTAATTATCAAACATGCCCAATTTGATGTAAAAAGGTACTTGGTGTTGCGAATATTTAGGAATGAAAGTAGTATATGTCTCTAGACAGGAAGAATTTGATTAGAAGTTGATTCACATTCGGAAGCTACTAAAGGCCCTAAGATCTTTAGCAGAAGAGGCTAAACTTGAAACAAAAATAGCTATAGTTATGAAGTGTTACAACTAAGCTAAGCAATCATTAGAGAAGCATACTCCACCTTGATAAATATAAATTTGGAGTATAAAGTAATTCCACCATTAATCAATTAAATACCTATAATTAAAAGAAGAATATGTAACTAAATGGAATTAATCACTTAGTGGTGAGTGAGAACATATAAAATAAATTCTATCATATAAAATAAATTCTATCATATAAAATAAATTCAATCTTTTACTTTTTCCTGCTTAGACTAGCTAGTAAATGAGAACATTAAGAAGAGTGGATTACTATATATAGAAGATCGAAGCATTCTGCCTACCTCTACTAATGTCACAATTTACAAATCTAACAATTAGACGTTTTTAATTAATCTTACATTAGTATAGCTTAGTTGCCACCCGTATGATTCTGATTCCATTAATTTGTTTATTAATTTTTGCTTGTTTTCTTTAGTATATATGCTAATTCCATCACTTGAATTAAACTATATTATGATCCAAATATTTACCTAATTGGGAAAATTCTTATTTTATATTCTGTTAACTAATACTCTCACCGTACCTTTTTGAAAATTCTTGCAATTTTTTTTATTTGAATTGAAATAAGGTTGTGCACAAGCAATTGCCTATCATGTCACATGTAGAAAATTCCCTTTTCTCATATGGCCATTTTTTCTCGTGCCCAAAAAATTTATCATGAATGGCATTTCCGTTCTTGTCTCGACTCTTTGGATACTCCTGCTCTCGCTCTTCCTTCTCATCCTACCCCAAGGAGTATACGTGTCTCTTGGTCGCCCCCCCCTAGTGTTATTAAAATAAATTTTGATGGTTATGTTCGGGAAGGTTCAGGGGTTGTAGGCATTGTTCTAAGAGATCATTTAGGAAATAATGTTTGTAGTCGTTCTTTTAATATTGGTATGAGTACTCCTCTTATTGCAGAAGCTACGGCCCTTCGTAATGGTCTTCTTTTGGCGCAGGCCCATAATATTTCAAAAGTATTTATTGAAGGGGATAATTTTCTTATTATTAATATTTTGCAGGGGAAGGCTCAGTGCCCGTGGAAAATACAGCTACTGATGAAAGACGTCAAGAAGCTGATTCGAAATTTCACTTATGTTGATTCGTGCCACATTTATAGAGAGGGTAATAGAGCAGCACACTTTGTTGCTTCTTTGGGCCATTTTATGCAAGCTCACCAAGATATCGATCCGTTCATAGACAGTAAATTTTCTTTTTTTTATTTTTTCTGATAAGTTAGGGTATAATCTTTGAGAGAAAACTATCCTAAATTCTTGTTTACCTTTCCATTTAAAGAAAAATGTAGCTTTTGCATCTTCTATTTTTTTTTAAAAAAAAATTTCAATTTGTGTTTTTATGATATTGTATCAATTTTTCACAATTTTTACTAATACGTGTCAACAAATATATTAATAATCAAAGTAATACATTGAAGATCGTATTTTATGCAAATGGAATGATCTTTAATTTAAAGAATAGATCAGAAAAAAAAATTAAAAAACGAATGAAGTATATATATACGGATGAAGATACAAATTGCCATTGGCATATATCCCTACCATGACTTATATTTGGTCCTGGTTGGCCTATAATGATATACCCCAAAATTTGTTTGAGGTGTCTAGTGAATTTATGCTAAAGCTTCTTAAGAAACTATCTTTAATTCTTTATGCATTTTCAAACTAAGATTTTATACTTGTATGTTCCTATATTTTCCGTAATTCTTGTGAAACTTATTCAACCTCTAATATAAAGCAAAAAGCTTGGTTATCTTTGACTTATTTGTATTTATTAGTATAAATAGATTTTAGGGTGCGTTCTATTTATCTGATTTTCATTAATCTGAACTTATTAGACCTTAACAAGTTAGGGAAAAAGAAGGGTATCTCAATATGTCATGGGTGAGATTTAATCCTAGGACCTCTAGTTGAACTGGGAGAGGGATTTTGACCAATAAAATATCCTATTAAAAAAAACATTTGAAGTATGAAAAATTTTACAAGTAAAACATATTACTCATGTTATCAAGAAATGTTATATTGGTTGGGAATTTATATCCCCTTCTTACGGTCTTACACTCTTACCACATTACATGACTTACATTCAAATTCGATTAATCTAAGATACTTTATTATTGTAGATGTCGATGCCAAATGCTGTATATGATGATATAATAAATATGCATGATATGAGTGTATATATATATACATATATATATATTATTTTTATTTTTTTTTCCATATATATAATTGTATATGCTGAATGCTTTTACATTTGAATACACTTCTCACGATTGAGAAAGGTAGATAAGTTCATTCGTTACTTTTAAGATTAGGTTCATTATTATTTAAAAGTTGGCTTCATTTTTTCGATGTTTAAGTTTCAAATTTCTCCACCTAAGTCAATATATAGTTATAACTTGAAAATGACTAATCTATAATTGAAAGGCAACCAATGAACTTACAACGCAAAAGGCAAACCTAAAGCATAGTAATGGTGGACTACAAACTAGCTCAACTTTTTAAAAAAAAATTTAAAAAAAAAAAAACAAACAAACCAAACCCTCTTATATCAAACTCATCGGTTCTCTCCTTTTCTCTCACACTCTTTAAATGGTCTATATACGCAAACAATATAGTGTGTACACACTTATACACGCATGCAAGCTAGCCATTATTTAACATTATTAATTTAGTAAACAAACTTATATTAACAAAAAAAACGACTTAAAATATATGGATGCCATGCATGATAAGGATTAACTAGACACTTCCAATATTCTCACCTATATATACTCCACAAAAGTTTGAAGTGACAATTATGCATAATCCTATCCCACCCCTCCGCATACGTAAATTTTGGCTTATTATGTGAAGTTGCTAAATAACGTTTAGTTTGCATTTGAGAATCTAAACACTTAATGATGTTGGTGATAATATGAAAATAAAGATCTTTAATTTATCAATGCCCTTTTACTTGATTCTTAATGTTTCCTTTTGTTCTTATCATTGACTTCGAAGATTTATAAAATTATAGAAATGCAAATACTTGTCTCTAAATTATAGGTTCGTTAATAGAATCAAATTTTGTGTTGAAAAACAAAATTAGCAATCGATTTGCTAACAATAAAATGTGGGAATAGTTAGCCCTTTTGCCTTGCGAAATGATAGAAGTAAATTGTTATATACTCACATAGTCACACAAGCTAAAAAAAAAAAACACACGTACGTGTGTAATATAAAAAAACCTATTAACCTCTATTATATTTCTTATTCTAATAAAAAAAGAAAAAATATTAATGAAAATAAATTTAAAAACAATTGATTAAAAAAAGGAAAAATTGATAAAAATAATCCTAATTTCGCCCATTCGTTCAAAATAATCTTAATTATGGATTATTATTTTTAAATAATCCGAACTTTGAGGGTCATTCGCTCAAAATGGTCCCAACCGGTTATCCAACATGTTGTAACAGGTAAAGGGGACACGTGTCACCACATGATTCGTTGAAAAAAAAAATTAAAACTAAAAAAAAAAGAAGTAAACAAAAAAAAACCAAGCCCCACCATGACCACCCTCCCCACCACCAGCCACGACCCCCTTTCGGAATCCCATCCCTGCCGCCGACTGGACACCTTCCCCCGCGCCGGCACCGGTGACGCCCCTCCCCCTACCTCCTGAACCACCGGTAATGTTTTAACACACAGGCTGAGTAATCACAACTTAGTAGCAGGAATGATTTAATGCTCAGGCAAAAAGAAACCTTAACAATAGATAGTAGTATGAAAGTTGGAATCATGGGTGCTCACAAACAACATAATTTCATTACTCAATATCTACAACTAAAAATTAATACACTAATATCCAAAAATATTTCATAATCAAATTAATAAAAGTTGGAACAAGATAAAATCAAATACTACCAGGGACGTGGTTGAAGGAAATATTGGTGGAGGAAAGGGTGTGCTGAACGGTGGAAGAAATACGGTGTGTCGCCGTAACCACCGTAGTTCAATTTAAGGAGGGTAGAGGCATTATTGTGCGCAATTAAATTAGGATCATAATTCTTGGGCATCGGACAATTCTTAATATCCCACCACACTGACGTTTTCGCCTTGCGATATTCCGTTGCATTTTAATTCATCTTCACATGTTGATTAAGATTTTCAATGGGTATGGGGAGGGCTTGCGCCGGCACTGTCATGGAGGAGGGGTCTCTGGTCGCCGGCGGGGATGGGCAGGGTGATATGGGCTGGAATTTAGGGAAGGGGCTGCCATGACGGTGGTGGTGGGTTGCGTGGGTGTTAGGTGTGGGATTTTTTTTTTAAATTTTTATTAAATATATTTTTTTTCAACCTATCACGTGCTGACACATGTCAGTTAAACTTAAAAAAGAAAAATAAACCTCTTTAACAGGTTACCGATCACTTTGGACCGATAAAAGTGAAAGACCCTCTTTAATCCATAGTTGCGATTATTTTGAGCGAATGGGTGAAAGTTGAGCTCATTTTTATCAATTTTTCCTTAAAAAAAAAAATACCATCTTTGTTTCTTATTAGTTGCAACAAAGGGATATTATCCGTGAGGCATAAAAAATTCTTTTATTGCAACTAATAAGAAGCAGAAGTAGTATAAGTAAAAAAAAATAAAAAAAAAATTCTGAAAAATAAAATAAAATAATAGCTGATGAAGTATTGGAGTATTTTAAAAAACGGTTGCTAATAAATACTTCTTGTATTATGTTAGGATGGTAGTTTGTTTTTTTTTTCTATTTCAAAGAAAAAAAGGTGTTGAGAATGGTAGCTTTACAAAATAAAAAAAAAAAAAAGTTCTTAGACAAGAAGGTCTTGTTTAGTTCAACTTATTTTACTTATTTCAGAAAAAATAAGTTTAGATCAGATCAGAAAAAATAAATTCAGATCAGATCAGAAAAAAAATTAGTTCAAATCAGATCATCGTTTTATGTGCAGTTTTTTATCGCTAAATATCTTTAATTTCATAATGAAAAAAAATTATATATGAAAATTACATATTAATAAAATACACATTATTACGAATCTAACAAAACCCTAATTGATATATTTTTTTTCTTATAGATTATCGTACACTAAAGGTTAAAGTTTGGTCAAATCAGACAATCAGATCAGACCAAATCAGATAAGCAAAAATAAGATGAACTAAACATGCCCTAAGACCCTAATTTGAAGTTGGTTAAAAAGAACTATTATTTTAAAATTTAAATAGGAAAATTTGCCACCATTAATCCCAACTTTGCTCTGTCCGCTGTTATTAATCTCAACTTTCATTTATTTTCTATCACTCCCAACTTTGTACCTTATTAATTTTTATCACCCTCAGGTGACTTAAAACAGGTTGAAGAGGTAAACATTGCTGACTTGGGATTACTTGTACACATGTCAGCATGTGATTGGACAGAAAGATAAAAAAATAAAAAATAAAAAACAAAAAACCAAAACCACCTTTATCCCTACCGCACAACCACCTCCACCTCCCCCTCCCCCCCCCTCCCCCCTGACTGCGGCAACCCAACGACGACAACATCCTTCTTCTCCGACCGGTGCATCCCAACCCTACCTTCCCTTGCCGTCGCGATCCCGCAGCCCCTCCCTAAACCCTAACCCCGCTGTTTCCCCTTTTTCCTCCCCCTTCCCCACCATCGCGATCCTCCGCACCTCTCAATATGATAAATTGATGTATTTGTTGGCCGGTATTGTTTGATTTGGTGGCTGGAATTTGTGTGGCATCGAGAAGAAATTGGTGGTGTTGGTGGGCGAGACTGACGGTACTTCTTATTGGTGGTGTTGGTGGGTGAAATTAGGCTGGTGGTTGTTGCGGTGCGGTGGCTGATTTGCTGAAGGATGGCGAAATCCGGTGGAGAAGGGGGCGGAAACTGACGGGGAAGGAGATGGAGCTGCGAAACGGTAGGGGCTAGCTGTCGCTTGCCGGAGGTGGCAGGGGCTACCACTTGTTGGGTAGGGGTTAGGGTTTTATTTTATTTAATTTTAATTAATTTATTTTGTTTTATTTTTAAATTTTTTTTTCAGACCTATCACGCGTTGACACGTGTTTGGTAACCTTTTACATCAAGTTGGATGGCCGGTTGGGGGTGATAAAAATTAATAGGGTACAAAGTTGGGAGTGATAGAAAATTAATGGAAGTTGGGATTAATAATAGTGGACGTAGCAAAGTTAGGATTAATGGTGGCAATTTTGCATTAGTCACAGTAGTTTAAATCAGATAAGTAATTTGTTTCAAAAAAAAAAAAAAGATATTATTATTTATTTATTTTTTTGAGTAAAATTAGACAAGTAACTTAAGTTTAATTTAGGATAAAACAAAGCAAATTTCAAATAGACTTTGATGAGGGTCAAAAAGAACTAACAACGTCCTATCTATATATACAGTACCAATTAAAGACTTTAAGTTGCTCAGGGTAAAATCGCTAACAAGTAAAAAAACCCGCTAATATTGTTAACAACTTAGCGGTTTTTACTTGTCAATAGTGCAAAACTAAGCCATTAAGATTTGATGTAAAATGTTTTCATGAAAAAAGGTTTTTCATTATTTCTCTTTTATTTTTTGTTTGGTTTATGAAGAAGTGGAAAATAATTTTCCCAAAATTACATCCACAATGATGAAATATATTTTTCATCACAAAATAAGGAAATCCAAATTTTCCTGCGTCTTCCTTATCTCCTTTTTACTTTCCTTTCATCTATCCTCACATTTCCAGAATTTTTCTTTACCTTTTCTTATAAGAATAAGGAAAAATTGTCATGATTAATCCCGCCCTATTCGTCAATATTAATCCCACTTTTGAATTAATTTTTATTAATCCGAACTTTATACCCCTTCCGCTCATAACACCCCCAGGTAATCGATGACCTGAGCATGTAATTTTTTTTTTTTAAGTTTAAAATACACATGTCAGCATGTGATTGGACACAAAAAAAAAAAAAAAAAAAAAAACACCAAACCACCTGCACAACCACCTCCCTCTCCCCCCGACTGCGCCAACCCATCGGCGATATCTTCTCGGCGACGACAGCAACCTCCCTCTCCGACCTGCGCGATCCAAGCCCTTCAATTCCTTGCTCGGCCGTCGCGATCCCCCAGCCCTAAACCCAAACCCCGTCGCGAATTTTGCTGGTTGAAGAGGAGAGTTGGGCGGCTTGTTGATGTTGGTGTTGTTGCGGTTTGTTGGGGAACAGGGGAGTACCGTAGCTGGTGGTTTTGCGGGCTGCTCTACTTGTGGTTGTTTGGTGGATGGTGGAGCAGGGGAAGCGGAACAACTGAGTTTGTGGGGTGTGCGGTGGTTGTGAAGGCTGTAGCAGCTCGGTTGTTGTGTGATGTTTCATGAGAAGAGAGGTGGATGGTGGCCGATTTTGGTGGGCGAGAGAATAGAGATGGATGGGGCTGCTGCTTTGGTGCGGTTGTGGCGGTGGAGAAAGTGAGCAGGAGCAGTTTGGGTGGATGAAATTGGAGAGTGAAGGTGGAGCAGGGGAGGGTGGTCGGGGCAGCGCCGGCACCGGGCAGGGAAAGGGGTCTGGGCAGCACCGGCGCTCCGGGGGAAGGTGGTTGGCTGGCTGTGGGTGGCTGCGGGCTGTCGTTGGGTTTTTTTTTTTTTTTTTTTTTTAGTTTTGATTTATTTTATTTTTTTTTTTAATTTTTAAACTTTTTTTCCAATCATATGTTAACACGTGTCTTATAACCTGCAATATTAGGTTGAATGACCGGTTAAGAGTGTTATTGATGGACAGGGTATAAAATTCGGATTATTAAAAAATAATCAAAAGTTGAGACTAATATTGATGGATGAGGCAAAATTGGGATTAATCACGACAATTTTCCCATAAAATAAAGGAAAACTATCTTGTAAATGTGGTTTTCCTAAAAAAATGTGTTATCAATAAAAACTAATTTTTCATTGAAAATGATTTACATTAAAACAAACGGGCCTAAATTAGGAATATAAACTTGTATTTTGTCCCAGATCTCGCCTTGGCAGTTTTCCACCAAATCTGAGAGATTCAGTTTCTTCATCGATTATACTTCGTACTTGGTATTTATTAAAGGTTTTATCTTCTTATAACCATTGCTGGTTTTAATGTTTCATCTTTCATGTAACCAAATGCTGCATAAATTGGGCGTTTTTTATGGTATTGAGTTTCAATTCAAGGACAACAATTTAGTGGGCAAATTTGAAAACCCATTTTGAGTTTGATCATTTTGTGTCAAATGTGTTCTAAACTTGGGGAGAAATTGGGTGTGCACGACAGATGTTTGATGAATTGCCTGACAGAATGCTGCTTATTAGTTGAAATTCAATGATCTTAGGTTTCTTAAAGATGGAATAGATCAGTTTGGAACGTGTGATTTTTGATAAATTGCCCGAAAAGACTTGGTGTCCTGTAATTTGATTGATGCTTATTGGGAATATGAAAACTGAGGTTTCTCTAGTGTTATATGATATGATGTGTACAAAGAAATGTGTATATGTGCATAAGTAGCCAATCTTGTCTTAAGGAAGACTTGGATTTATTTAGGAAGGTACTTAGTTCTAATGATCAACATGATGCTCCTGCATTTCTGCACCTGATTGTGTTTTTTCATCGAAAGCCGGTTTGGGTTACGTTGAGAAAGGCATGGGTAAACAATTACATAGTACATAGCAACAAGAACGAATTATTTCAATAATTTGGTTCACACATTTAGACGTACATTTATGCCTAACTTGGGTGTAAGAGATTAGAGAATGCTAAAGTTGTCTTCAAGAGCATTTCTTATAGAACGAATGTGGGTGATCAGAATTCTATGATATATCTAGCGGTCTGGCCTCGCAAGTCATGGCCTCGGACAAGAAGCTATTGTTGCATTACTTGTGGAAATGATTGTTGTCGTACCTGTGGCTTACAGGGCAATGCTTATTAAAAAATGATGCAAGAAAAGTATAACATCATTCCTAAATTAGACATTATGGTTGCATGATTGACTTTAATTGTGCATGGTACTTAGAGGAAGAAGCCCTTGAGATATGCCTACTGTCAGCATGGTTATAGACTTGTAATTCGATCCTTGTCAGTGACTTGCTGGTTCGCAAATTCCTTGTAGGGAAGCAGTGGGTGCTTACTGCTTAGACCAACAATATGGCTGTCTAAGAAGAAGTCTAAAAGTTGTGATTCACA